CCCCCCTTTCCATTTCTTTCTACTAAACGTGAGAAAAACGCTCAGAGCGAGAGGCTGTGGCTCATGGGATGGTGGAACAGTCTGGTAAGGAGCGTTGTGGCGCGGGATGGGGTTTGGCAGTTGACTGGACCAACCGCGCTGGCAGAACTTCAGTCCAGCACATCACATGAGATGGGAAAGGAAACCTGACCTTGGATTTATAAAAAGAAACGGGGATAAAAGGGGACTGATGGAGTGCCAGAAGTTGAATGTCCAGAGAGGCTTGGGAGGAAGTGGGAATTAAAGGTAAATTGGTTAGTTCAAGAACGGCTGTATCGCTAAGTGGTTGTATTGTGAACTTAAAAAGAGAAACTTTACTCAAACGTGTGTTTTCGTTATCCTTTTTTAATATGTGCTTACATGGGATTGCAGCGCTTGCAACAAACTAGGCTGCTAGTCTTTTTTGCATATTATGGGATCACACATACTGCATTTCATTTGCTGGTTCCTGAATGGCTGTACTAAAGTCTTTGTTCTCCTGATTATCATATTTGTAGCTACAGGAAATTGGAAGGGAATGCAGACAGTTCACTAGAGGAAAGTAAATTAGCATACTGCTCAGTTATTATTTAACATGGTAAAGGAGGCTTAACAAAACCTTTATAGCTGCGCTGTCATGGTGAAGAGTGTCAACATTTCAAGTAGAAGTGGTTTGAAATGAAAAACATATTTTAAGGCAGCTTTCATCATAGCTGGGCCTTCTTATTGGCTTTTAGGAAACTTATGATACTTTGAACTAACTATAAAGAAGAATGTGATCATATTGTGTAATGATACTGGGACTAATCAGCCTATGTAGTTGAAGGCATCTGAGATTCTGATGCAATTTTACCCAATTTATTAGGCAAGTGTGGCAATTCTCAAGAATTAGATGTTTGATTACAGTATGGTTAAAGATATAATAATGTAACTTGAACAGCTGTGTGATGCAATCAACTTTTGACTAGTTGTTAGCCTTTATTTTACAACTCTTCAATTTGCAGTGTCATACAGACTGCAGCTTACTTCATGACAGTGGTCTGTTACGTGTTCTGCCCAGTGGGAGCTGATGTTCAGAGCTGGCATTGGTGACACAAAGGTTTGTTACCGTGCAAGTTTCACTATATTGATCTGAGAATTTAGTTTAAATTGTTTAGTTTTGTTTAAGCTTTAGTTTTAAAGCCTTTGTATACCTAAGCAGTGGGGCTTGTAACAGTTTAAAGTGGATTGAAAATTTAATTTAATTTAAACTGGTGGAACTTCAAATTTTAGGTTATAGATAAGACTTTGAATAGAAAATTCTGTTTCCAGTTTTCAAAAGTAGGAGTTAAGAACTAGCTGTTTCACTGTGCGTAATTGTGCCTTGTCATTTCCATGCATCTGTTACAGAGGCTGCAAGTGAAGCTCTCGAAACTTTGTGTGCATCAGGATAAGATAGGTTCTCACCTGAGTATCGTATTTTCAGTTTAATTTTGGTTTCTGTTAGTGTTTGGCTTGGTGTGTGATCACACCAGTAAAATCAGGTAGTGTGTTGTATTGTGCTGTGACGTATTAAGGTGCACTAATTGCTTTGTAAACCATGCAGAATGTGATACAGACTGATTTCCTCAGGTATGTGCATGTATTTGTGTGCTTTTTGTAAGTAATCCACGGAAATGGTGAAGCTATGAATTAAAGTCTTATTTTATTTTGGGTTGGCATCCCAAGGGCAATGCACAGTCTTCCAGGCACCATTACTTATTTATGGTATCTATATAGTTTATGTATAGCTGAAACTGTATTTTACATTCTTATCTGTGACATACCTACTATGTGAAGTGGACTTTTTCCACAAATACATTTAGGAAAATTAGTATTAAGTGATACTATGCTAAACACACATGTGCCAGAATGGACTAATTTAAATTATGCTTAATTAAGCAAGCAGGAAACCTTGATTTTATTTATTTTCTAATTATTTCTTAGGCTGTTTCTCCTTTGTTGGTATTTAAACTTTGGGAGAAGTTTACTAGTCTAATCATATCACCACTTGGGCTTTTTTTGATAACTAGAAAGGTGTTATCTGTATATATTTAATCAATTATATAACTTAAAGTGTCTATAAAAGATCTTTTACGTTTTGTTCTCAAAGAGAATTATTTTTTGTGCTACTGATATATTTTATTATTGATTCTTTCAATTTAAATGGAAATTGAAATCTATTTAAAGGATCTCCCCAGGGAGAGAAAAAGAACCAAAATATAGTTAAAGATCTGTTAAAAGTTTGCAGTTTAAAAAAAAAAAAAAAAAAGCTAAAAGCATGTTTTGATGTAAAATTTGCTGTATTAAAGTATTATTTGTTTGTATGACTGGCTGTTTTTGGTAGGACTGGCTGGTTTTGGTTATTGTTTTCTTTTGAGGATTTAGAAATACTGCGTCTTACACTTGCACATTTCTCCTTTACTTCCCACTGTGAACTTAAAAAAAACAAGTTTTCTTGTTGAACAGCCTATCTTTGGTTAGGAGTTAAATTCACAAAGAAAGGGGCTTGATTCTTACTTCCCTGTTTCTTTATATGTTAAGTGATTAGTTTTTCTTCTCATACTGCTAGAGGTTGCATATTTTCTGTGTATTGCATTTGGAAGCTGCTACTTTTGGACATGAAAGACTATGGAACATTTTTGGAAGACCAAATGTTGGGTGAAAAGATTTCTTTGTTACATTTGCCTTTAAAAAGCTGTAAAGGGAGAGTTCATTTAAACATGAATCTCAAATGGGGAAAAAAAAAAGTGTCTTAATTGGCCATATGTGAAAAACCTCTATCAGTGTTGTTTCATAAACAGCAAGCCAGGGTAGAAGAATCTCTTTGAGCAGGAGGGAGGACAGGGGACTCAACAGGATAATTTCAAAGAGAATGTGAGCAGACTTCAAAGAACCTTTCAGCCATAGTTAGAATACCAGAATTGTACTATTTTCACCTTTTCAAGTGGATGAAACTCCTAGGATGTTTGCTGCCTCTGAAAAAGTGGAGAAGAAGAGCGTGCAGATTAAGAGAGATAACAGGATACTTAGGGTCTGAAATCCTTTATTTTGTTACTGGTGATGTCAGTGACTCTCAATATTGCTGTTACGGTGTTATTTTTAAATAACACAAGTATTTTTTTTGTGTAGACCAGCTGTTTCCATGAGGAAATGTTCCAGAAATTTTCACTAATGTCTTACTATCGTGGAGCAGATGGAAGCGTAATGGCAGCATCTCTGTGTTTTATTTTAATAGAAATAAAAAGGAGCTGTTTGGCTTTAAGGCCTATACTGGTGTAGCTACAGGTTTAAACATGCCTGCAATGTATCTAGTGAAAGGACGACCTGCTCGTTAACATCTCGTATTTTCAGAGACTTTTGGAGGAAATGCTTCAGAAAGAATAGAATCCAGGATTGGTCCTCTTTTCTTAATTGTGAATGAAGTCTAAATTAAGATGAGGAAACAACTTTCACGCCGCGTCTGGTGAGCGCTCAGGCTCTGTAGCTCTACGAGCGCGCCAAGCCAGTACTGTCACCAAAAGCTACATTTATGTAGCCACACAAGAGCCTCGACTGGGGAAACTAATTGGAGTGCAAGCTAACCTTTTTCTTCTCGCTTCTGCTGAGTTAGTTTTAAAAACCGTGGTGTATTTCTGAAATTTTAACGGTAATCTGCCACTAACCTGTGGATCTTCCCCTACACGCTGATGATCACGCAGTATTCCTGTGGCATGCTTTGTGCATGTGCCTCAATGTAAAAATGATATTAGCTAAAAACACTTTTGGCTCTTTACCGTGTGGAAGTGAGGAGAACTCAGTGTCATAGGATCATCTTGCTTTCTGTGGAGTATGGTCTCAGAATCACTGTTCTAATGGCTCGGCTTGACTCTTCGCATTCCCTTCAGTTACATAAAAAGTTTGTGGTTAAAACCAAATACGTTTCTCCCTGTCTGTTGCTAACACATTACCACAGCTACAGTAGGATATGGGCCAATTTGGAAGTGGTTCTCTTGTTTTTGCTTCTTTTGTCCCGTTCCCCTGTGTAGTAGCAAATTTTTCAAGAACAAGAGTATATAAACTTTTGCAAAATCTAGCTTTCATCGAAAAAGTGGTTTCTAGCTTTTCCTCAAGGCAGCCTTCATAAACAATTTTACCAAGGATTCCATGGTCTCTTGTACTTTTCCAAACTACAAAAGCATGAAACTTTTAAAAATTTCACTTATTTTACTGGGAGCTCTGTAAGCTCTTGTCAAACTGAAGAATTGAGTCCGTTTTGTTCTGCTGCAACTCAGCAAAAGCAATGAATATAGGGGGAGAGAGTGAGACTGTACTGAATTTGTGCATTTATTCAGAAGGACCCAAGAGCAGTGGCAGTTCTCTTCTCCTCTTCATAGCAATTCTCTGAAACCCCTTTCATTTCACTGTATGTGACTAGAGGCTGTGGTACCTTTCCTTTCCTACCTAACCTTTCTCTCCTGGGCTTCTCACTTTTTTTTTTTTTTTTTTTTTTAAATAACTCATGATCTGTTCCCTGAGTTAGTTCCTCTCACTGTCCTTCAGTCAAAACTACCACGATCAGTTGGGGGCTGAACTCAACTGGGCATCACAGCCGAAGGACTTAGCAGCCTTCCCCAGGCTATAGGTGAAAGGCTGGTCTCCAAAGGTCTGTGAAAAACAATTCTTTCCCTTCTCAGTGGAAAAAAAAAAAGACCATCCGCTTAGATTTTACGATATTATTTTTAAAATAAGGAATTTGATCTTAATTTAATGCTAGCTTGCACACCTCTGTGATGGGGTGGGGGGAGAGAAGAGAAAATGAGCATGGCGTCCCAGAAAAATTGGGGTAGAACAAATTTGAGAAATTTGTAGTTCTACCTTATGAAGAGTGAACATCACTGTTCAAATGCTACATATAATATCTGGCAATTAGGAAGCAGGTACTCACTTTTTTTTTAAGCTGTAGTTCTTTCTTAACCCATCTGAGAGGCTGACTGTGCAGACTAGTCAAATATCTTTCAAATTTTGTATATATTTATATCAGGATTTGTGTCTCTGTAGCTGCCTTTGCTGCACAGTCAATAATGCACACTAACTCTTTGTTCTAAGAAATTTTATGTTAACATGTAGAATTTGGAGGGATACGGTTACCTGCTGCGTAGAATTTTCTTTTAAGAAGCTTCAGATGGTTTGAGTTTTATTTTAATTCTTACTGAGTTAGGTGGTTGCTTTTTCTTATGTCAATAGCATATTTTGATATTATATGTAGGATTAACTACTTATGTTTGAAAAGCTTCTCGAGTTTTCATGGCTGTAGGTGTTTTGCATGCTTGATTTTTGTGAATAGAACATGTTCATCAAAATAGCTTATGTATGTTCATGTTCAGAGTCATTCGGTCGGCGTAAAAAGAACAAAATACTCAATTCCTTTCTTTTTCTTTTTCCCCCCCCTCCCTTCTCCCTTTAGGGAAAAAAAAGGCAGCTTTAAAAGCTAACATTCCTTCTGGAAAAAGTCTGCCTCAGTTGTGTAAATACTGGATGGTCAACAAACTGGTTTTGACAGGCAAAATAGGTTATCAGTTTGGGGGTCTTTCACTGGGAGTGCCCTTGTTATCAGCTCTTTGCTTCTTAAAACAAGTGGCTGCTAGTTCAGGCATTTCAGCTGTTTTCTCTGTTTTGTCCCTACTATGAAAGGCATGTTGCAGATAATTTTCATCCTTATCTAAAACATAATTTTGATAGAGGGAGAGGACTCTTGATAGTGTTTTTCTTTGGTAAGAGTAAGCAGTCACTCTAAGATTACAAGAAATCTGTAGTAACAGTAATATGACCCTTGGTATTTTGAGGCGAGAGTAGCAGGGCAGTATGTTAACGATTTATAATTGTTCTGAGAAGTACTCTAAAAAATGACATTTTATTATTATTTTTCTTTCTAATACTGTAGGTGTGATCCAAATGCTTTAAATTACTTTATTCCAGTTCAGGTTTTGCTCCTTTTTCAAGACTTATGCTTCCTTTTTGTCAAGTTCTGCTGCACGAATAATTCCTGTGGTTTCTGTCATTAATTTGCTGTCTCCAGTTGCTACCTCCTGCATTGTAAGT